AACAAGAAAACGTTTTTAAGAAGCAATAAGAAAATTATCCCAAAAGAAACCTTAAGCTATTCGATATTTGTTAATTGCTTTCTGTTTGTTGTGCGCTTGGAATAAATATGTAGGAGTTTCAGATCTTCTTTAAAGATAGGAAGGGGCATCAAGATAAAATTAAAAATTATATAAAAAAAAAGGAAGGGCATCAAGAGAAGGATCATAGAATGAAGACAAGCATAAGCAGCTGAAAACAATTCTTTAGCTAAAATAAAGGATATATCCTTAAAATAATCTGTGTATATTAGAAGCATAAGCTAAATATAAGATGAGGGATCAATCTCAGATGACAATTGCAATCATAGGTAGTAACAATTGTTGTCAATGATGCAGACTCGATCTATTGCCATCATCAATAACTATCGAAGTTTAAGCTTTAGGTATTTAATTGCTTCAATTAATGAGGTAGTTTTAGATTGATACATGTCATTATGCTTGATGCATCATCAAAAAATTATCTTGATCGGGCATAAATCTCGATGCAAAATCAAGTTGGAAACTTCTAAAATTAAAATTGGGACCATCCGAACTCCAATTTTAGCAAACTTACAGTCACTGAACGTCTCAGAAATACGAACCTAACGACACCAAATTCGACTCAATCCTAACCCAAATGAATCCAAATCAAGAACATGAAGCGATGTTGGAAGGTTCAAACCACAATTTGGATTACAAAACGATTTCCAAACATTACGTGCTTGTAGTCGAATCAAGCGGCTCGACTAGACGAATCCAACGAGCCAAATTTCGACATCATTAAGGCATGCAAATGTTTGGCGAACGGTCCACGATCAAGGGATTCAATATCGTTCGTCCATCCAACCACTCCCCATTTACCATTGATCTCTTACTTATTTACGGGCCATGCCACTCCAAAAAAATTTAAATAGACCCCTCCTTTCTCTTGAAAAGGGAGCTCCAAGCAAGAATAGAAGAAGGAAGAAGCTCCTCCTCAACCACTACCGGACTCCGCCGGACCACCGCTTGAGGCCCTTACCTCCGCCAAACCACCGCCTGACGTCGTTGCTCCCCCGGACCACCACCTGAGTCCCTGAGCTCCGCCGAACTACCACTTAAGGCCCCCACCTCCGTCGGACCACCGTCTGACGTCGTTGCTCCGCCAGACCACCACCTGAGGCCCTGAGCTCCACCGGACCCCCACTTGAGACCCTCACCTCCGCCGGACCACTACCTGTCGTCGTTGCTCCGCCGGACCACTACCTGAGGCCCCGATCTCCGCCAAACTATCACTTTAGACCCTCACCTCTGCCGGACCACCACCTGAGTCCCTGAGCTCCACCGGACCACCACTTGAGACCCTCACCTCCGCCGGACCACTGCCTGTCGTCGTTGCTCCGCCGGACCACCACCTGAGGCCCCGATCTCCGCCAAACTATCACTTTAGATCCTCACCTCTGCCGGACCACTGCCTGACGTCATTGCTACTCTGGACCACCACATGAGTCACTGAGCTTTGCCGAACCACCACTTGAGGCCTCACCTCTGCTGACCCACCACATGACGTCGTTGCTCATCCAGACCACCACCTGAGGCCCTGATCTCCTCCGGACCATCACCTGAGGCCCGGACTTCTACCAGATCACCCTTGACACCCGAACTTTTGCCGGACCACCACATAAGACCTAGACTTCTGATGGACCATCACCTGAGGCCCAAAATTCTGTTGATCCACCACCTCATGCCTAGAGTTCTCCTGAAATATTGTCCTTATACTACGGTCTTTTAGACCCTTATATACAGCCTACGGTTCTTCCGATCTTCATCACCTAATATGGTCATTCAGATCTCAATCACCAGACAACAGTCTTTTAGACCCCGGTCTCCTGTCGACTACGACCCTTCTGACCTCTATCGCCTACTATTGTCATTCCGACCTCCATCATAAGACAATGGTCTTTTAAACCCCGGTATCTTGCCAACTACGATCTTTCAGACCCTAATCTCTTGCTGACTACGGTCCTTCCAACCTCCTTCGCCTACTATGGTCATTCCAACCTCCATCGCCAAATAATAGTCTTTCAGACCCATGTACCCCTGTATCCTGCCACTATGGTTTTTCAGACCCCGGTCTCCTGCCGACTACGGTCCTTCCGACCTCCGTCGCCTACTATGGTCATTCCGATCTCCATTACCAGACAATGGTCTTTCAGACCCTAGTCTCCTGTAGACTACGATCCTTCTGACCTTCGTCGCCTACTATGGTCATTCCGACCTTCATCACCAGGCAACGATCTTTCAGATCCCGGTCTCCTGCCAACTACGATATTTCAGACTCATTCTCCTACAAACTATGGTCCTTCCGACCTCCATCAACAGACAACGGTCTTTCTGACCCTATTTTCCTATCTACTGCGGTCTTTCGGACCCCTGTCTCGTGCCGACTATGACCATTCCAACCAAACAAACATGTTTATGTTGATTATTATAACTCCCAACATATAATGCGCTCTATATGATGTACATTTGTACCATCAAGCCAATACCTTCTCCCTAAGAAGGGCCTCATTTGTAATCAACTGCAAATACTTATGGATTTTGTCAAACTGGGTCAGGCCTCGTGGTTTGTTCCTTCTTTTCAAGGGTTTCCATGTAAAAATTCTGGTGTCTCTTTTGAATGCTACACCCTTTCTCTTATCTGATTATGTGCTGGATCTTCGTATAATGCTAAGATGTTAAATTATATATTTCTCTACCACCGCGAATACTCCAGGACGCAACAATGCGAACTAATTATTCCATTGATTTTTTTTTAGAAAAAGAGATTCATTCATATTTGAATATTGAGGCTTCATTTGGGGGAAATTATTATGTGCAGTCACCGGACAGTCCGAAGGTGATCGAATTAAGATGCGCCATGTCACCTGGTACACATCATTACACAACACGGATACACAGCAAAAAAGTGACGTGACGTGTCCTGATTCGCCTCCGAACTTGATGACTTTTTTACTACTTTTAAAAATTATTTTTTAGTACAAAAATGACTTTAAAAAAATAGTGTTTAAAGCTGTCTCATGGGATGACTTTCTTCCCGCTTCTTAAAACAACTTTTTAGAAAAAAATTTTAATTTTTATGCTAGAAAATAGCTTTAAGAAGCAAGAAGAAAACTGTCCCAAACAAAACTTGAATATATTTCTTCGAACTCTTTGACTACTTGTCATATTATTATTACCAGCTTATATTGATTGTCATGCACGCTATAAAAATTAATTATTAATGATAATATTGAACTTGTCTATGTAAATCATGATATTATCTAAAAATTAGGGGCAAGTGATTATAAGTCTAATGTGAATATTCACGATGTGGAGGTATAATATTTAAACTATTATGTCCGAAGTAGTGAAAGAGAAGAATTTGCAGGTCCATGATATTTATTCATCGTAAATATTTCTTCACTGATACAAAGTATGATAATTTCTCAAAAAACTGGTAAGGTAGACCTTTTTAAGAATAACAAGTCATAAAAAATATGATACTTTTTTCACAACTTAAAACAAATTTTTAGCATAAAAATATTTTACAAGCAATAAAAAGATTGATGCGTCATCACAAAATTATCTTGATCGGGCACAAATCTCAAGGCAAAAGTCAACCCGGAAACTTAAAAAATTAATTATGGGAGCTCACAGCTCCGATTTCAGTAAGCTTACAGTCAAACTGAGCGTCTCGGAAATACGAACTCAACGACACCAAATTCAACTCAATCCGAGTCCAAATGAGTCCAAATCAAGCGCCTGAAGCGCTGTTGAAAGGTTCAAACCGCAATTTGAGTTACTAAACGGTCTCCGATTTTAAAGTGCTTATACTCGAATTGAGCGGCTTGACGAGAAGAATCCAACGAGCCCAAGATCTCCAAATTCCGACATCATTAAGGCCTCTAAATGTCAAATGAACGGTGCACGATCGAAGGGTTCAATATCGGCCGTCCATTCAAACCACTCTCTATTCGCCCCTGATCTCACACATATTTACAAGCCATGGTACTCCAGAAAACTATAAATAGAGCTCTCATTCTTCACAAAGGGGACTCAAGTGAAGAGAGAGAAGAAGAAGAGAAGAAGGAAGAAGCTCCTCCTCGACCACCACCGGAGCCTGAAGACGCCGGAACTCTGCCGGATTTTCTGGAAACGCTGGGAATTTGCATAACTTTGTAACTTTGTGAGAAGTTGATTGTAAACTGATAGTCTTGATTTATAAGACGGATTAATCTTTGTACTTCAAAAAAATACTAGTTGAACTTTACAACTGGGCGAGGCTCCATGTTTTTTTTTCCCTCTTTCGGGTTTTCCACATAAAAATCTTGGTGTTCATTTCTCTTTTCTGTTTGTGTGTTGAATACTAGTACAACGCTCGGACGCGAATTTACAAACTCTACCGCCACGTATATTCTAGCCCGCAACAAAGATATTGGCAAAAAATTATCCCAAAAGATTCCTAAGCTTAATTTTTCTCCCCATTCACTCATTGGCATATTGAATTTGACTCGCCAAGGCTAAAAAGCTGATTATGCAAAATCCAACTATAAGAAAAGCTGATTATGCAAGCATAATTAAATACATTGTGTAGATGTCTTATTTTTAGGGAGGTCGAACCTCGTTAGGGGCCGCTGCCCCCCTTGGATCCCCAACGTATTGTGTAGAGGTGTTACATAATTTTTTTTTAAGAATAATTGTCATTATATAAGATGTTGATAATATTTTTAAAATATATTATGTATTCAAGCACAAATAATCATTAGTCATATATATATATATATATATTCGGGGGTGGTAGACTGAGATTATTTTTTATGTGAAAAACTAAAAAGGTAAAGATCACGGGGTCATGATTAGGTGGAAAGATTCAGCTATACTAGTGGGTTACAAAGCTTTACATGCACCTTAACTTGGAGACTTTGAAATTAGAATAGTTTGGAGAATCGGTGAGGCTTCATATGGATATTTGGGAGTTTGGTGATGAACTTGGTCGGATGACAAAGGTCAGAAATATGATGGCCACGGCCGGGAGAACGTCCAACAACCGGGTGGAGGTTCTGTGACGCCCCAGGCATCCATAGTGAAAGGATTCGTCTGACATTCTGATCGAACTCCATTCCAGTTGCCTTGCTCGGACCTGAAATTGTTAACCACATATAATGAGCTTTACAAAGCCCAGCAGGTCAGGATTTTACAGGTTCGACGATGGTTGACGACCAGGCAAAGGTCAGACATTGATCGACTATCTGGAAGTGTTTTGACGGTGGTCGACGGCCAGGTCGAGTTTCGATGGTGATCGATCGGTGGCCCGACGACTGTCAAGTGGAGGTCCTGCAACAGTTGGCATGCTAGCGGAGGTCTGACGATGGTCGATGGCACAAAAACGATTTGGTAGAGGTCCGTCCGTGGTCGACGGTCTAACAGTGGTCGGACGGCGGTCAACGATCGAATGAATGTCTGCATGTGGTCTAAGGCCCAACAACGATCGGGTGGAGGTTCAGAGATGGTCTGGTGGTCCGGTGGCAGATAGTGACTGGGTGGAGGCCCGGCGGCGGTCAACTATCGGCAGTCAGGCGGCAAACCACCAACCACCGAGGTGGCTAGCTTCAATTGGAACAGGCCAAAATTTAAATTATTTAATTTTGTATTTGAGCTCATAATAAAAAATATCAGATAAATTTAATTCTTTTTTATTAAAAAAAAAAAAATACTGAGGGCAAGCTCGAGGTGGCTTCAATTGGAACCGGCCAAATGGGACAAATCCTTGCTCATCATCAAATAAGTCACTTGCCTATATTAAAATTTGCAGCTCCTCTTCATGGAACCTTACCGGCGATTCACTAATGCAAACTTTGACTAAACTTTTGGTGTCTTTTTTTGGGTTAAATGTCATGACGATGTCATTGATTAGGTACATCAAAATTCAGTACTAGCAATCACCTAAACTGATTTTGGAATTAAATTTATCTGCACAAGAAAAAACCAAAATTTTGAATTTATTTCATTGCTTGATCATCAATAATATTTAAATTCAAATTCAATCAGGATAATTTTTATTGTCAATAGATTTACATTAAGATTAATGTAACTTTTTAATATATTATATAGTATTATTTTTAGATTTTATTTGGGGCAAATTTTTATCAACGACTTCACATTATTTTTAAAATGTTTTTTCACAAAAAAAAAATTATTATAGAAAGCAATAAAAAAAATTATCCCAAATAAAAAATTAATATGAGAATTCCTATATTTGTTACTGGAGATTTCTCTTGTTTATTCAAAACACAGTATACATGTACAGTTCATTCTACAGTAGCCTCTCGGTAATGTACGCAAATTGAACTGAAAATTTTCGTTCGTACATAAAAGGTAGGCGTACTTAGTATTACGCTCTGCGTTCGTAATGGGGGCGATGAAGCAACCTAAAGAATTATGAAAATGATTTAGAGCTCTATCAATCCCTAAATAATGGTTAGTTTTTTATATAAAAATTATAAAAACGCCTCTTAATATATGCAAGTATACACATTGAATCAAGTAATATAGTGGTAGAGTAAAGTATCGATCCCACGAGGAAAAATATTTACTTACAAATACGATTACTGCCTACTTCAACTATAACAATTATCCTACAGAAATTGAAATAAGTTTTTGTGGAGATGTAATTACTTAATTTAAAATAAAAAATAATTAATTGAAATACTATTTGAATAAATAGTTTTGGATTGATAGAATGTAAATACGATATATTTCCTAATAATTCTCTTTTATATTGATCTTATTAAGAGCATATGCATCACTGAATGCTCAGTCAAGCATGAAGAGACAAATGACATAATAAAATCTTCCAACCTTAATACCATTTTAAAACCTTATCGGCTATCATCCTATGAAAATTTTAGAAGAGTAAGTAAAGCGTGTACTGTTAAAACCTCCTCATAATAATTTATCTCTATAAATTTGATACATGATAAGTACTATGCTTATGCTTGAACATATATGTATATGAGCACCAACTTAAGGATGCCTAAATAGTTCTCTTACAATTATGTTGAGGCTCTGATCAAAGGGTTTAAATACTCAAAATAGTGAGCAATAGCAAATAAATACTTGTTCAAAAGTAATCTAACACATTATTCAATAATAACTCTAATATCAAAATATGTGAGCCTATGTGTATTGAATTGAGCTAATTTTGAGCAAATCATCATTGAGAACATAAACATTTTAATTTCAATTTCAAGTCGATTAAACTTTAAGAGATTATCAAATAAATTTCAATCTACGACATAATAATCAGTCATAGACTCATAGGCATGTGTATATTAGGGGTGAAAGTGAGCCGAGCCAGCTCGCTAGCTGGCTTGAACTCGACTCATTTATGAGCTCGTAAGCTGAGCTTATCGAGCTCACGAGTTGAGCTCGAGCTGGCTTGGCTCGTGAGCTCGCGAGTCGGCTTGAATAAATATTAATATTTTTTTAAATATTTTTATTTATTTATTAAATTTAAATATTAAAAACTTAATACAAACCATCTAAATTTTATTTAAATGTTAAACATTTCATCTATTTTTTTCTTTCAAAATTTTAACCAAGTTTTAAACATCCTGCTTAAGTTTTAATAAATCCCGCCTAATTTTTAAAAATCCCTCATACATTTTAAATTTCCCGCCATTGGCTCCCAAGTCGCGAGCCGGCTCGAGCTCATTTACAATGAGACGAGCTCGACTCGAGCTCGCTTTCCAACTGACTAGCCGAGCTCGATAAGGGGCTAAACTCGACTCGCTTACACCTAGACATGTGTACTAGAAACAAACTACAATAGACTAAGAAAAATAAAAATCATACGGCTCTTCTTGATTTTTTGGTTGGGAGTTTGGCTCTCAACTAAGAGGTATTGAATTAGAATCTCGCGGATATATTATGCATGCTTGGGTACTGCCCCTGATTTTCGAAAAAAAAAATCAAAAATAGAATTCATTTGGTAAGCCAAATATATAAACATATAATAACCTTTATAAGTATCACAATTCGGTTTCTACGTGTAGCACGAACTACGAAATCAGCTCATAAATTTTTTATTTAATATTCTGTTTTTATTTTAAAAAAAACGGCGAGGCCATAAATAAAATCTCCATTTTAGTTTCTCATCCATCTGCACTTTCTTCCCGCCTGCACCCACTACCCGCCAAAATCTCTGCGCGTATATGGCAGTTTACACACAGAAACACGGAGGCAAACTGACTCCGTCATAGAACCTTTGCCCTTTGGAAACAACCAACTCCACTGCGGGCCGGATTAGCTCCGACGGTTCTCGTCTTCCCACCGAAGGCATGACCAAACGAAAGCGATCCAAGCGCTATCCCCGCATGTTCGACCACCCACCCACGGAGGAAGAACACCTCGCCTACTGCCTCCTCTTGCTCTCCCGCGACACCGGCTCCTCCGCCGCGATCAACCTCCGCTCTCATTTTCTTCCGCCGAATCTCGAACGCAAGTGTTCCGAATGCGGAAAGACCTTCCCATCCTACCAAGCCCTAGGCGGCCACAAAGCAAGCCACCGGAAACCCGATTCCCTTGCCGCCGTCGCCCAGGTAGACGATCACATCTCCGTGGGATCTCCTTCAACCTCAATCGCCGGCGGGAAGATCCACCAGTGCCTGATTTGCCTCAAGGCATTTCCAACTGGGCAGGCACTTGGAGGACACAAAAGATGCCATTACGACGGTACTATTGGAAGCGCTGCCGGCTATGGATCCAGCGGAAGCGCGGCGACTTCATGGGTGTCGGAGGTGAGGAGCGCCGGAATTCGTAGGTTTGACTTGAATGTGCCGCCGGTGCTGGATTTCGGCGTTGAGAGCAAGCGGCGATGGTGGGCGTTAGATGATGAGGATGAGGTGCAAAGCCCTATTTCGTATAAGAGACCGCGTCTTCCCGTCACAGCTACTTAGGGCTCGCACTCTCAGAGTACATGAACTTTGCCGACTCTGTTTCTTATTCTTAGCCAGAGCAGTTTTTTTTTTTTTTTTTTTTTAGTTTTCAAAATTTTTTTTTTCTTATATTAAGGTCGAAAATCATTATAGGGATTTTCTTCGAGCAAAACGGGTACTGCGTTGATTTGTTATTTGGTAAATGCTATTTAATAATAATATTATTTTGTTAGTGTTAATAAGATGGTTATGAGACCCATAATATTTTATAGTGCAATTTCTCGTTTACTGTATGCTAATGATTTATTCATTTTCGACAAAACTTATGTAATTAATGCTCAGATTCTAGAGGACAACTTGCTTACTTTTAAACATGCGTCTGGTCTTAACATCAATTATGACAAGTAGGATGTCAAAATGGGTATTTGAATCTGGTTCAGGTCAAATCTGGTATTGACCTTGGTCAATTTCAGCTAATCTGAACCCGGTTGCACAGGCGCCGGATCAGACCAGTCCCGCCGGGTTACCAGGTTGACCCGAACCGAACCTCTAACCCGAAATACAACAACAATTCAGGAATTATGTGAGATCAAATGCAGCTTGCACGGGCGGGGGATCAGGCTACAATGCAGTTGTAGGAGTTGGTGCAGTGCGGTCGTGGGAGCGGGTGCAGTGTGGTCGCAGAAGCTGGCGCGGGTCAGGTTGCGAACTCGAGCGAGGGTGCTAGCAAGGTGTGGGCATGAGTCTTGGTGCGGACTCTAGTGTGGGATCAAGGGCGAGCGCAACCTGAACGATCTCAAGCACAACCCGCTGTGGGCCTTTGCGAGCGCGAGAGCATTGTGGAGTGCGAACATACACGCCTCGTGAGTGCAGATTGCTCCAAGGAGACTTAATGTGGCTAACTTCTCTCACTTATTTCTTAAAATTTTTAATATGTTAGGAGGGTTGAAAGGTTAAGTTTTTATTTTTTGCTGATAGGATTCAGATTATCAAGTTTAGCATTTGGAATTCAATTCATGTTAGATAAGAGGCTCTATTATACCTAAATATTTTTCAAATTTATTGATAAATGTTGTGACAGATTTATTTTTCATGAAGATATTCATGACAAAAAGCTTCATATTATTTTCTGGGGGAAAACTTGTTTACCTAAAGTTGTAGTATTCATATATCAGATTTTCAATGGTCAAGCCTCTGTAACCATCTTAATAAGCTGAAACAGAGATAATTGGAAAAAGAACAAAACGACATTTATTCATTCTTATTTCAATGTAACAGGAAGAGAGAATATATGCATACAATGAGGGAAACAATAGTCATTATAGCAGCTTAATTAGCTTTAAGGCTACATATCAGATTATCAAAGCACTTAGCAATCAACGGATATGAATTGTTGCAGGAAGACCTCAGCAGGGATGTGGACATTGGCTAGCAGAGTAGCAGAGCAGAACTTTTATTCCATTAACACCTTGCAATATGATGATTCAGGTGGAATTATAAGCTTGTCTCTAAGCTAGGAAAATTGGGAGTCTAAAACCTTCGGTTAGCTTAAACTAGCCCATGAGTTGAGGAAAAATTATTCTGTGTAGACGCCGAATGTCGTTCGGAGGCCAATCAAAACGCGTCACATCATCCTTTCGTTGTGTACCACGGCTCGGTACCGGTGCCATGGCTGCACCTGATTCACCTACAGATGTAGAGCTACATTCAGCCACCACACAGAATAATTTCTCTCAGTTGAGGGTATGCATCTTCCATAGAAGTTTTTTTTTTTTAATTCATAATTTACTTCATTTTCCCAACTTTTTCAAGTCCATTTTCCTTGCCTCGCCAGAAATTATTATGTACGGTCACTTGACCGTTTGGAGGTGAATCAGAGCTCGCCACATCACCCGGTACACAGCATCAGTACATAGTAAAAAAGTGACGTTGTGCGCTCTGATTTGCCTCCCGACGCCATCCAGTAACCGCACAAAATAATATTTCCTGCCTCACAGCACCCAAACTTCTGATGCACATTTTATTATTTTAATAATGAGAAATACATTTCTGTCATAATAAATATATGCTGAAAATGAGAATTATTTATTTCTAGGTTCAAAGCCATTACTTCTTCATTAGACTGCCTAAATTCAACAATATGTTGGAATCAAAATTGTCTGCATATGGGATCCAGATTTTACAAAAAGCATGTGTGAAGAGATAAAGAAAGGTAGAGAGAGAATTAGCTTTGGTCTTTTCTAGAAAGAGCTTCGATTTCGCAGTTTGCTTAATTTGAGCCCATAAAAAAATAATTATATGTATTTATTTTACATTTATCTAAATAATTTAAATATATTTCATTTACACTGTATTTATTTTTCATTATATTCCTCTTTCTGCTAATGAAATATCCCCTTAATAAAAAATATTCTCCAAAAAACATTTTCTACTTATATTTAAACATGATCATTTTAATATATTGAAAAAAATGTTAAGCTAGTCTTCTTGATTATCATGTGAAAATGTTGATGACCTATTTGATATATTTAAAGCATATCATCACAATAATATAAAAATGAATTACGGTCTCAAACAAAAATGAAAAAAATTATAGTAATTAGTTAAAATTTCTAGCTCGGCCACTAGAGAGTTGAACATGAAAATATTGAGCATTCAATTGTGATGATTACGAGACTTATTGAAGAAACTAAGCACCAGATGTGATCGAAGAAGAGACGAGAGGAAGAAGATTTGCTTTCTTGAATAGAAACTATGTACAAACAAGGCTTATAAATAGATCCTAGAAATAGGAGTACACGTGTAAGCTACAGATTGGTACAACGTGAATAAAGTGCTAATACGATTTGTTTAAGTATGCTAATATCCCCCCCTCAAACGAACGGATCTGAGCTGATTGTGAGTTTGTCCCTGAGCTTTTTGAAGCGCGGCGTAGACAATGGCTTAGTGAATATGTCAGCTATCTTATCTTCGGTTTTGATTGGAACGAGTCGGAGAAGATTGTTGCTAATGTGTTCCCGGACGAATCTATGGTCAATCTCAATGTGCTTGGTTATCGCGTGATACACGGGATTGATCGCTAATGCGATGGCAGAGGTATTGTCGCAATGCAGATCAACAGGGTCGTTAGGGGTAATAAAGAAACCGGAGAGCAGACGTTTGAGCCATATAGTGTCAGCGGTTGAGGCGGCGAGAGCCCGGTACTCCGATTCCGTTGATGACCGGGATATTGTTGTTTGTTTCTTAACTGTCCACGACACCAGCGTGCTGCTAAGAAAGGTGCAGTATCCCGAAGTTGATTTTCGGTTTATGGGATCACTTGCCCAGTCGCCGTCGGAGTAGGTGGTGAGATGGAGATCTGATTTGTTGATCGGAAGACCAAAGTTCGTTGTTCCTTTGATGTACCGGATGAGGCGCTTGAGGAGAAAGTTGTGATCTGATTGTGGAGCGTGCATATGCTGAGATAAAGTATTGACAGCGTATGCAATATCCGGGTGAGTAATAGTGAGATATTGCAACGCGCCGGTGATCTTCTGATAGGTCATAGGATCAGACAACGTAGCTGACTCCATTGCAATGTCGACTTGGAGTTTGGTGCAGGAAGGATTTGCTGCGGAGTTGCAGTTAATGAGATTAGCTTGTTGAATGATGGATATAGCATACGATTCTTGTGACATAAAGTACTTATCTTGCTTATGTTGGATTCGTATGCCGAGGAAGTGGTTTGCAGAGCCAAGGTGTTTTAGCGCGAAAGTTTGATTGAGTTGATGAAGAAACGTGGAGATGGCATCTTTGTTGTTGTCGGTGATGAGTATATCATCCACGTATATGAGTAAGAACATTTTGGTGTGACCTTGGTGAAATATGAGAAGAGATGGGTCTGCCTTGCTCGGAGAGAATCCAAGACTAAAGAGATGATTGCAGAACGTTGTATACCATTGCCTCAGAGCTTGTTTGAGGCCAAATAATGCTTTCCGTAGAAGGCATACGTGATTCGAATAGGCGGGATCCTCGAATCCTTTGGGCTGCCTCATGTAGACAGTTTATTGAATGTCGCCATGAAGAAAGGCGCTCTCGACTTCTAGTTGGTGTATTTTCCAGTCGTGATGGAGAGCGATAGTGAATAGTACGCGAATGGTGGGTAGTTTAGCTACCGGACTGAAGGTTTTGACATAGTCGGGTCCAATTTTTTTTGATTGCCTTGTGCTACCAGCCGTGCCTTGAACCGAGCAACAATTCCATCGGCGTGTAGTTTCTTACGGTACGTCCATTTGCACCCCAAGATTTGCTTGTTCGAAGGAGCAGGTACCAGTTTCCATGTATCCTGATTTTGAAGTGCAAGAAATTTGACAGCCATGGCATTTTGCCATTCAAGTAGTCTGTTGGCCTCAGTGTAGCTGGTGGGATCCTGCTGAGAGATCTCGTTGAGAAGCAGATTTAAGCGAGTTGTGGGTTTGAGTGATCCGATTTTGGCACGAGTTATCATTGGATGCTTAGCCGCTAAGTTACTGGGAGAACTATGATCGTTGTCCGCTGGGGAACTTGTATGCGGAGGGCTGGTATGAGAGTTGAGCGGTGAGGTGTGACTGCTCGATAGTTTCTTTGACGAGGCTTTGTCCACGGTATGTTGGCTTGAGGTAACCTGCTGTAAAGTGGATGGCGATATTAGAAAAGATGGAGGAAAAACCGTTTGAGATGGTTTATGAGGTTGATGAGTTTTAGAGAAGGGAAAAGATGTTTCAATGAATTGAACATGACGAGAAACGATAATCCTGTTAGTTTCTCTGTTCAGACATTTATATCCTTTATAATTGCTGGTGTAGCCGAGGAAGACACATGATACAGAGTTGGGTGCAGTTTATGCCTATACTGCTTTGGTAGAAGTGGGAAGCACTCGCATCCGAAGGTGCGAAGATTGGCATAGTCAGGATTGGTGTTAAACATGAGCAGAATTGGAGAGACATTGTTGGTCGTAGACGTCGGCATTCGGTTGATAAGATGAGCAGCTGTTAAGACAGCATCAGGCCAGTACTTGGGAGGCGTCGGCATTCGGTTTCCATGTGAAGCAGCGTCCTGGCAGTATTGACGATGTGGCGGTGTTTGCGTTCGGCGACACCGTTCTGTTTCGGTGTGTAGGGGCAGGAGAGTTGGTGATGTATCCCTTTGGATTGAAGGAAATGTTGGAATTGTTGATTTATGAACTCATACCCGCCGTTGATACACATCACCTGTACTTGGCGAGCCGTATGTTTCTCAATGAAGTTTATGAAATTAGTGAAGATTGGTGTGACTTCAGTTTTAAACGTAAAAGGGAAAAATCCAAATATAGCGAGAATAATCATCAACAACTAGTAAGTAATAACGAGATCCTTGAATTGACGAAACGGGGGAAGGTCCCCAGACATCCGAATGAAGCATAGCTAGAGGAGTTTTTTTTCTATATACATAATTAGAAAAAACCTACTTGTGACTTTTACAGGTTTTACACGAAGTACAACTACGATTATTATTCTTTACACGTAAGAGCGGATGATCGTGCGAGATCTGATCAAGAATACGTTGGTGTGGATGCCCCAAGCGTTCGTGCCAATTGAGAGGAGTTGTCTGGCTGGAGGCAAGGGCCAGATGGGTGACGTCTGGTTTCTTGATCGAAATTGGATAGAGTCCGTCTTTGCAAGGACCGCTAAGCAAGATTCTGTTAGTCTGCAAATCTTTGAACAGAAATCCATTAGGTTCGAATATAATAGCGATTTGATTTTATGTCACAAGTTTAGATATGGAAATTAAATTATGGGATATGGAGGGTATATGCAGAAGATGAGATAAGAACAACTTACGCTCGGGGGTAGGAAGAATTCTCGTGCCAGAGTGCGCGATGGGAACTGATCTTCCATCCCCTACCATGACGTTGTCGGAGCCCTGATATATCGATGGTTGAACAAGGTTTTCGTGGCCGTGAGTCATGTGTGAAGATGCACCTGAGTCGAGATACCATTCAGATGACGGTGAATCAGCTGTTGCAATCAGAGCTTGTCCATTTGTTGCAGGCTGAGCGGAAGGTGTAGTGTAGTTCAGATTGTATCTGTGCCAGCAAACATCGGCCGAATGACCGCGCTTGGTGCAAATTTGGCAGATCAGAGAGGATTTTGATCCCTGTTTAGATCCAGAGGTAGTGATTTGCGGTGGACGACCGCGTCCGCGATGACCGCGACCACGGTTTACGTAGAGGGTGGTTTGATTGTCCTGCGCATTGGAGAAACACTTATTAGCATGGCGTAAAGACTGTCGAGGGACAGTGGTGTTTGCTGAGTCTGAATCATGGTTTGAAAGATTGGTAGGGAGGCGGTAAACCATTGACTATATGAAGTATGATGTCTTCGTTGTCAAGGCTACATTTGGCAGAGATGATTAGATCAACGGTTTTCTTTATTTCCATGAGGAATTCTTGCATCGGCATGTTGCGCATTGAGATGTTTTGGAGCTCGTTCTTGAGCTGCATTACTTTGGATCGATTGGCAGATTGAAATCTTGTTTGACGTGCGCTCCAAATTTCGTGACTGGATTCGAGATGCATAACGTAGGGAACCACGGTAGCTGAAATGGTGGAGGAGATCACAGCGACTAGATTTCTGTCTGTGAGAAGCCATTTTGATGCGTCTGATTCAGGATCTGAGTGATCTTGATCAACAGAGACCGGTGGAGGGGATTCCAGAAACGATTCGAAACCGTTCGCCTTGAAGAGTTTGAAGACCTGGTTCCGCCAGATTGGATGATAAATTTGAGAGAGGGATATAGAAGAGGCTTATCGGATGTATCGCCGATGCCCGCCGTCGTGCAAGAGGATGCAGCGGCAGAGACGGAGGAAGCCATGGAGATAGTCTCAGGTAGGGTCCGCTTCTGATACCATGAAGAAACTAAGCACCAGATGTGATCGAAGAAGAGACGAGAGGAAGAAGATGAATTGCTTTCTTGAATAGAAACTATGTACAGACAAGGCTTATAATTAGATCCTAGAAATAGGAGTACACGTGTAAGTTACAGATTGGTACAACGTGAATAAAGTGCTAATACGATTTGTTTAAGTATGCTAATACTTATGATTATTATATCTGTTCGTAAATGAAATAAGTGGAGAACATAAGAGCATTGTGCATATGATTGTTATTAGTGTTTTCATATTCAGTATATTTTAAAATTTTCTTTATTTGATTATATTCTAGATCTTTGCTTATAATTATTACAATATTTTATGTGTTTTCATATCAAGTAATGGAGAAATTATTTTGTGCAAATGCTGAACGCCGTTCAGAGATCAATCAGAATGGGCCATGTCACCCCCTGCTCAGTACTCGACTCGGTACTGCTCAGTACCGCTCGGTACCCGATTCTGTACGACGCATTCTGATTGATCTCCGAATGATAAATTGCATTCGGCCTCTTCACGGAATAATTTCTCCCAGTAATGATCTTGTTACTCTTAGAGGAGTACTAAATCAATTGAAATGATGCATACTCATAAACTAAAGGTTGTATAAGATATATTAATTTGAGAATAGAATATAAGTATGTTAAAGTGAGTCATATGGCCAATGGGCCTACGACAAATGCAATAATGGATAAGTGAGTTTAAAGTATTTTAATTGAAAAAGTTTTATAAATTTTATTTTCTTTAATGAAATAAAATGATGAGTAAAGTTTTGATGAATTTTAAATTTTCTTCGTAATTTATTATTTATGCAATAATAAATCTCACTGTTAATAGCCACATATCGTTCATCCCCATTTTTTGCCCATAGTCATAGTCCATCATTTCCGGCCACTCATCACATGTACCACCGACTGCCAGACCAAATAACCCTAAAAAAATAATATTGCAAAGAGAAATCCAACCCTCTTAACGAAAGGGGAAATTTCAATTTCACAATCAATAAAACTTTTGTTAGAATAATAGGATATAAATTATAATATGAGACATTTGAAAATAGTAAAATTTATTTCTGAATTAATGGATTACTAATTCCTCATATATAACTCTAATATAAAAATAAATTTAAAATTGTTTAATTCTATCCTTATATAAATTCTATTTGGAGGCTATCATCATGATATAAATTATAACATAATTTTCAAATATATATTTTTTTCTTTTATAAGTGCTTGAAGGAAATTTTTCTTGTTACTTTGGTGTTTTCTTTTATAAGTGCTTGGAGGAAAATTTTCTTGTTAGTTTTGTGATAAATTGCCTTGAAAGACATTTTATTTATTGAAATTTGTACTATAGGATTATTTCAACAAATCCATCAATTTGTTTCATTAGATTGCATAAACCATAAGTTTCATACAATTAAATTTACACTTTCCAAGTATATATTAACTAATAAGCTTTGAAAAAAGTACTTTTTTCAAAATAAGTTACGCTAGCTACAACATTGTATAAATAAAGGATTCGTTTGGGATGACTTTTTTGCTGCTTCTTAAAGCAGCTTTCAAGTACAAAAATTTCAACTTTTGTACTAAAAAGCTGTATTAAGAAGCAGTAAAAAAGACGTCCCAAACGATGCCAAAGTTGTGATGGAGAAATCAACTTCTTTAATATAGTTGCATAAATCTGTTTTTCATCACAAATTTTTTTAAAAAGTAGCAGTAACGTAGCAAATTGAGGCTTCTTTTGGGATGAATTTTTTTATTGCTTCTTAAAATAGCTTTCAAGTTTAAAAACTAAATTTTTTATACTAGAAAGTTGCTTTAAGAAGAAGTAAG